GGCACTGTTGGATGTACGGCTATAGAGATTAGCTATAGGGATAACCACAAACTGAGAACCAGACTTGCTTTCAGAACCGGACAGCCTCAAGCAAACTGCTTGACATATGTACCCTACTTCTCAGATTTTAGAAAAGTTTATTATGTGAGTAATAAAAGGTCAAAAGTAAATACTAGGGATATGAGTATCTAAATAACTCAATAAATATTGAAAATCATCCAAAATTCAAAGGATTAAGCTTCTCACAAAATCAACCGTGAAGTCCATAAAGTTACATGTATAAACTCTACATAAATGTCTGTTGTTGCTTGATTTTTTTTTTAATGCAAGTCTCACTGTTTAGCCAGGGCTAGCTTAGAATTCACTATGTAGCCCAGGCTGACCTCACACTCATAATCACCCTGCCTTAGACTCCCAAGTTCAGGAACTGGAAGCATGAACTCCTCTGCCTAGTGATGTAACACACCTGTAAATAATTCCAGTACTACCTTCAAAGCCTATTGCCAGTGACTGTGTGTACTATAGCTGTATACTATGTCTGTTTGGTGTTCATGAAATTCATTTGTCTGAGTAACCTTTGCTTTGGAAGTAGTGAAGCAGTCACCTCTGCCTGAGGAACTTTGTGGAAGAAATGAAGGTAGCATGTTCTTTTTGACTGAGAGGCTTCAACATTTTACCTGAAATAACTGTCAGTCTGTTTCCATCTCTGGACTTCCCAGCGGTTTGTTTACCTAATGAAATTGAGTGACCCTGGTGTCCCTCTGTGGAGAGACGAGGTTGCCACTTAAGTACATTGCTTAGAGATGGTTTGCAATATCCTATAAATGTTGGTGGGAGAAATTATGGCAAATAATCATTTTCTAGAAGAGAGCATGTCATTAGGGAAGCAGTTAACATTCAACAACTAGTAAGTTTTGCCTTTTGCTTTACAAAATTGCTTCCATTTGATAATAGAATCAGTTTGGTTTTGGCAGAGATAGACATTTAGACTAATGAAGCCGGAACCCAAAAGAAACTCACACACAGAGGAGATAGTCATTTTGGAACGGAACTCTTAACAGTGCTAGAACAGCCTGTTATCTATACATGAAGAGTAAAGTTGGGCCTCAACTTTATTCTTCACCTTCAAGTCAATTTCAAATAAATTAAATTTATGTAAATGTGAAAGGCACAATTTTAAACTTTGAAAAGGAAGGATAAGGGAATACCGCTATAACCTCAGGGCAAGGATTTATTAAGTAGAACAAAGGACATAGTGAGATAAAAGATGAATTCTGCCATTAAAACTTTTTCACATGAGCGTATGGGTGTGGTGTGCATGGGGACACATGTGTGGCATGCGTGAGGAATCCAGAGGCTGACTCCAGCCTGCTCTCTACTTCATGTATACATCAGAATTTCTCCCTGAGCCCAGAGATCTCTAGTTAGCAAAACCATCTAGCCAGTGTGCCCTCAGGAGCCGCTCTTTCCACCTGCCAAGCCCAGGAATTTCAGGTGGTCATCTCCACCCACCACGCTCTTCTGTGGGGAGTGGGGCTTCACGCTTCTGAACTCTTGTCTTCATGCTTACATAAAATGGAATGAAATGAAATCTATGTCCTGGCAGTGCTCAAGCATGCATGGCAGCCTGTGTACGGTGGTTCTGTTGAACTTGTCCATATTGGGTTTCATGGTCTAAGTTGATGAGGACGACTGACCAGGTCTCTCCCTCAAGAAGGCACCAGATCTCATTACAGATGGTTGTGAGCCACCATGTGGTTGCTGGGAATCGAACTCAAGACCTTTGGAAGAGCAGGCAGTGCTCTTAACCACCGAGCCATCTCCCCAGCCCTGTCTATTAAAAACTTTGAATTAGTAAGATGACATAAAGAAAATGAGAAATAACATATATGTGTATATGGAAAGGAAGAAAATTACAGTCTAGAAAAAAATAAAGATTTCAGATCACAAGGAAGTGAGAGAAGAGTGAAACAGGGAGAGGAAGTGACTCTGGGCCCATACCTTCATCTGGCCAATCACAACCCTGACAAGATGTCCAGCCTCATTCACAGTCATGGAAATGCAAAAGTAAAATAAAAAAAAAAACCTCCCTCCTATCTACCAGGCTAAAATTTAACAGCCTAACAAATCCAAATGATGGCACAAGTGTGTTTAGGAAGAGGAGTCTTGCATCTTCCTGATGGCAGCATAACTTTATCCGACAAGTTTGAAGATTGGCGAAGTATTGCCCATTCTGCTTACACACACACACACACACACACACACACACACACATACATGCACGCACCTGCTCTCACACTTTTTCTCAGCTGAAACTTTTGTGAAAGCCCAGAACACAGACAGTTATCACAGTTGCTGCCTTCCTGGTTATCCTAAGGGGATACAGAGGTGATGGATGCCGTTGGGGGTGCGAAAGAGCACACTCCAACGCACTGATGCAGTGTGTGCCATATAGGATAGGACCCTGTGTTTCTCATAGACGTCAGTCAAGGAAAACTGCTAGGGAGGTCTATCCATGTGTGTGAGCACTTAATACAGGACCACCCACGCAGTATCTCTGGTCATAACCAGAAAAGTGGACATAGACTGGTTATCTATAAGTTTTTGGTCATCCTCCTGAAATATCTCTTGACTTCTATTATAGTCAAAAATATAGGGGCTGGAGAGTTGGCTCAGAGGTTAAGAGCATTGCCTGCTCTTCCAAAGGTCCTGAGTTCAGTTCCCAGCAACCACATGGTGGCTCACAACCATCTGTAGTGGGGTCTGGTGCCCTCTTCTGGCCTGCAGGCATACAGACAGAATATTGCATA